CTACGAAGTGCGTTATGGAATTAAACAGAAATTCTAGTTGATCATATATTAGCTTTGTGTATTTATTATTCGAAATCGTCCCAATGCGCGTGCGGTTTAACTAATCGGCTAGAGTGTCTCGCCAAAATTAGAGAACAGGTTCCCCGAGCAATATTGGTTGGCGCGCTCCAGAGAACAAAAATCAAGCTTAACAAATGGAGCTAACAGATGGTTTCTATTTAGCCTGCAAGGATCTAGATACGTTTTTAAAACTGGCGGACGTGATGAAAATTGAGGCTGGATTCTCAGTGAGACATTATTTTATCTCTCAACTCACATAAAATGGTTTTCTTTAGAACTGAAATGAAATTTGAAATATTTCTGGTGCCAACGTGAAAGATTCTTGGCAAACTATATGACTCCACCAGGCGATATTTCTTGAAAATTATATATTACAATGAAAAGTTGCTACAATATTTCATCAAGTTTATATCTCTATAAACGTTAAGATCCCCGCTTCTGCGCGGCCACTTTATATTATAATCCTTTATTAATTATTATTAATTTTAATTATAATAATCCTTTATCTTGTTCGACTCGATACCGGTGTTTTTTTTTTAATAAATCTCTTGCGAGAAATCGAGGCATTTGTTAGCGAGCAATATTCGGTCTGAAGTTCCGGCTCTGGTGAGTTTTTTTTTTAGATTAATCAGTGTTGAGTTTAATCAGAAAATAGAGCATTCGCATGCGCCCGCATACGAATCGAGTTCTTTGAAGCGGAATCTTTAGTGAGTTTTCGACTGCATCTAAACCGCATTGCGTCCGACATCCTTTGCAGCCCCAATCATAATCATGCTTGTCCGTTCTCAGCATTTGCCTCTCAAGTTGCTTTGGAAAAATCGACGCACGCTCAAAAATTTTAGAGGCGTTTTCAAGAAGCGAAGTAAGCGCCAATGGACCGAACCAAAGTATGTAGTGTTGTCGTCTCTAATCCAATTCGCTGCTCAAATTTCGATTACAGTTGACCAGGATTTTTCATGTAGCTGATAAATATTCAATTTCCTGTGGACGCTGCGTATTTCTCACTTTATTACTTACATTTTTTTCGTCTAACTTTTCACAGATCTGCCCCGTAAAATTTTTTCCAACATATTCCGTTCATCGTGCTAAGTGCAAATTGTCTGCCTTTATGGCATGGCAATGCTTCGAAGTGTTAATGAATACCAAGAAATCTCATTTAAACAAAATTTATCAAACCTCTTTGCACGTATTCATGAAATACTCGAAAAATTCAAGTCACGAGTCGATTTTTTTACGATGAGAAGGAAGCTAAAACTGACACACAAAATTTGAAAAACTGCAATTTTTTAATGTATGGAGTAACAGTTTGCGGCTTATAGGTTATGCACTCACTGGTTCCACCCTAAGTAATTTTTTATAGTTGGTCATAAGTGCCTCAACGGCACCCGGGAAGCGGCCTGTGAAGCAAGCATAGGGGCAGCGCGATATGCACTTCAGGCCCCATGGGTCGTATGGACTGACCGACGAGCTTTCCATTTTTAGACTAAAAGTACGTGAACAGCGGCATGAGAGCTTAGAGCTCCGCTGTGCTAAAGATCTTTGCTGGCCGTTATGCTAATAAGCTGCGTGCGCCTGCTGCCTCCTCTGCTGCTATCAACATTCGAGAAATCTCGTTTTTTTTCCTTCGTTGCTAACTAAAAAATGAGTTGCTGAAACTCGGAAACGGTTTCGCATCTTGTCTTCGCCGCAAGCGGGCGTTATAAGTTTTCAAACTAGATATTGTGGCAACGACTTACGCTCGAGATGCCATGTTTCTCGGTTAATGCGACGTTAAGAAAGATTTTATCAAATCCCCTGGAACATTACCAAGCGTTTTGTCGGAAAATTACAACTTGTGAAGCTTAGCAATGGAAATATAGAGCAGCGCCGTGTTAGAGCGTAGTTGGCGCTGCTAACGTATAGAGCCTTGATTTTCGTTCGTATTCTGGCAACACAATTCTAACTTTTTATGGTCACATTTTATTTTCAGGCTGATCTCGGCATATTGGAACTCGAGCAGACGCTTTATTGCTAGTGTCGTCGTACAACCTGTTCGCTTTATTGTTGTATCAAATACTCCTTTGGCCTAGTAAAAATAGCCATTGTGTCGCATTGTGCTGCAGAATATTGATAGATATTCGACGGAATTTTTTTAGTTACTCTGATACACATTATTCAGTAAATGTGTCAAAAGAGTGTTCCAATTGATTTTTAAAATAATATCATTCGGAACGAATTTAATATATAATAATAATATCATTCGGGACTGAAGTCACAAAATAGTAAAGCAGAAGTTGCAACCCTTTTCTTGCAGAACTATTTGTTCTTCAGTGCCTTCTCTTCTGAGCTGGCACGTCCGAGTTTGAATTGATTTCCCCCGCCCCATGTATCGGTAGCCAGGGAACGGACCCAAGAAACAAACGAGCGATCACACTCACCCTTTAGCTTCACCGTGGGCTCGGCCCGGGCGTGAAGAGCAATGAATTGCGATCCAATATATGGCACGACAGGCCGCGCATCCTAAAAAAATCGCTTCAAAGCCTCGTTCCTGTTAGATTGTCTCTAAAATTTGTCACCTTTATTTTCCCCGAGAACTGTAACGAACTATGAGACGTGTCACTAATAATTCATTGGTAGGTATATTTTGCATGATTTGTTCAATTTTGCATCACTCAGCTCTTCCAGCGTTTCTTAAAAAGATTTTGATTGAAGCTCCCACACATCGGAAGAAATCCAATATGTGGGGAAATCGCGGATTTATTGCAGAAAGTTTGTTTTCTACGCCTCAATGCAATTTCCTCCTTGCAATGCTGCGAAGAGAAATTGCTACAATTGGAGGAATTGTTTGGCTCATTATTTCAAACCAACTCCTGAATTCTAGTATATATGCTCAATATCTATGTACCTATATCTGATTTATGTATCAACGAAGGAAACATCTTTACATTTAAAATTTTAACTATTGGCAAACCCCGCAGCCAACTTAATATACTAACAACAATTGATAATAAAGGCGAAGTATCATTTTTCACTCTCGCGTGCAAATCGAATCATATTTGAGAAATTATATATGACTCTGCGTGCTCCTTCTCCAGTAATGCCTGTGGGTCCTACTTACAACTGAGGATGTGCGCTGCCTCGGTGTTAGATTTATTGATGTTCTTTTCGTGGATCTCAAGGCTGCACAAACTCAGGTGTTGTGAATGAAGTTTCTTATTTGATCGATTAAATAATTTCTTCGAGAAGCAAATGCTAAGTTAAAGGTAACTGGTTGATGCACTAAAATAGCCATCATTCAGAAAACGAGGGCGTACCGATTACGTCAAATTTTTCATCCATTGCCTATTCATTGAATTTTTAGAATACCTGTTCTATTTCAATATGAATGATTTTTTATTTTTATGCAGTAGTTCTTCGGAGTTTTTTCTTTAAATGGTTTAGATGTGTTAAATAAACTGTTTAAAATTATTCTTGAAATTTAAGCTAAGAAGTATTAGAAAAGTGGTCCAAGGCTATGAAAAATATATTGTTCTCTCTTCTGAATGACTGCTCTGTCCTTCCTCCTCCAAAATGAACAACAAGAAAGTCTCTTCGAAGTTTGTATTTTCAAGTTTGAAGGAAATAACTTTTTCACTGATATTTCCTATGTTTTTTTAATCGTGGAATTTTAATTCAAATGTGCACGTATCATTTGGTCATCCTCGCGTCCTGTCTCGATATTTTTCAACTGTAAAACATAACTTTTTTCCTGACTGAACGCAGCAGCAGCAGCAGCAAACCAATGTCTAACTTTACTCGTCGTACAGAATCGAATAAGAGGTCGCTTAGTGGATGCTTTGTCTCTTTTTTTCTCTCTACGTAAGAGCGTTGTCAAGGAGGGACTTCCGTGAAAATACGGCCTCAAGCGGCCGGTTTTGTCCCATCTTGAACGACGGTCGATGAATTCTCCAGAACATGGATCGACGGGCAATCGGTCATCATTAATCTAAGAACATCAAAAGATCGCTCGTGTACAAATTGGTCGATGTTCATCAGTCAAGAGAGGAAGGTTCAGAGCCTCTGATGTGTTTGTTGTTACTGGCTCGAGCTCCTCTTGTTGCTCCAATCTAGATCGGGGAAACTCGCAAAGAGGATCTTTCTTTCCCTCAAAAACATAAAAAAATTCCTGCTTGCCTTAAAACTTTGCTCCTCGGTTGAAGTGTCACAAAGGAGGACCTTGTCATGAACAACGAAGAATTATTGAAATACTTTGAGAGTCGCATACATCCAACGAAAAATTGTGCCCTTGTTTTTAGATGGGCACCTGTCACAAAGATAATGAATCGCGTGCTAGCTTGGCTCGTGCTTTCCTCTTATCTGACAATCTGACGTTCAAACAAGGAGTAATCTGAATATAAGAAAATATTATTTAGATCTGTTTATGCTTATCTTAAGATCTTCGCCAGATCTACTATTAAATTTTTTTTATAATTAAAATAAACCATTGTTTTCATTACGTCTTTAAAATACTTTATCTTTCGTGCCACAAGCAACAGGAAGCTGCTCTCTTTGCTCTATGTCGTCAGACAGCGCTGCTTTAACGCATCACATATGAATCACTCTTCAAGAAATGGAATAATTTGAATAGTTTCTAGTCTGTCCGTTGCTATGCACATGTAATTTAATGTACCATTAACCGAATACTTGGGCAAAGGCAGCAATGAAATAATCTCAAAGTGTTAAAATTTCTTATAATCTAATCAAAAAATAATTATTATAATTTAATCAAATAATGTCCTTGAGATTATAAGCTTAGGAAATAATGTCCCCGATTATTTTATTACGTACAAAAATATTTAGAATTATAGAGATAAGTTTGCTCTTTTATCCCTTTAGGCAAGGGATAAAAATCATACCAGTGCCCATACTTAACTCCCGCTTTCAATTTCTTCCCATTGTAACTAATGCTTGTTGTTTTTCAGACTTCGTTTCCCTCCCACGCGATCAAGGCCCTCATCAGTGTCTCGACCGTCATCCTCTTAGGTCTCATATGTGCCTATCATGCCTTAGAAGTTCAGGTAAGACTTTCCTTTTTAATGTGATCGCGAGTTTATTTATGGTCGAGGTTTATTATATTCGCTTCAAACCTGCTAACCAATTATCTAGAATGTTTCTATAATTTTTATTAAGATGTTTGGAAAAATATATTTTGTGGGAGATTATATTTAAAAATGATGTTTTATTTCAAAATGATCTCCTGAGCTTCCTTAAGGAAAATGTGTTACAACGAATCGGCTGGAATTATTTCGTTTGACAAATATCGAGTTTTCTTCGCGATTATTTCGGTATTTATAATGTTGGCGTGTGTACTATCGCTCAGTTATACTAAACTACAAAAATAAAGTTATGACTTTCTCAAAAAGTTACCTTCTTTAAGTTTCAATAAAAGCCATGACATTTATTTCAATGCGCTTTTCCTGGGCTGAAGTAGACGTTATTTTTTCCACCGGAGCCTGCGCATTATCCAGCTCAGTGCTTCGCCCATTGTCTGTTTAGTTGCAGTCTTCCTCCGGCTCGGGCGCGTTTCCGGCGCGCAAAAAGCATCGTTTCCTGACCCCAAAAAACACGCCCGTAGAGGGAAAATTTCAGCAAGCGATAGTATGTGCGCTCCATGAGTTGCTCAAGTGGCGGTTGGCAGTAACTCGTATCGCAATGGCGGTTGTACCTGTAGACGGCCGCGTCTCACGATTATTATTCTCTTTATTTTTACCTTTATAGCGTTGAAACCTGAACAACTCTTTGCTCATTTTCAAGGCTTAGTCAGAATTGAAGAAATTTTTTCGCGTTTAGATGCGTCAGTTTTTTTAAATGCAAATGAGACGAATGCCCTGAGCTTGCAGGTTTGCTGGGTTTCAAATTATTTCGTGTATAAAAAAAACGTACAATTTTCGCTGTTGTCTCTTGGATAAATTATAAACTCTGCCGTAATAATTTTCACTGGCATTAAGAAATTTAGCCGTGAAGTATTGTTGGTGTTGTTATTCAACGATTTCTTTTTAAATTCTATTATAAATATGGATCACGATCAGAAATTATTTAAATAGCTGGGTAAATAATTCTAGTTTGATAGACAAAATAGAAGTTGTTACATGGATGTAATATAATAGGATTTTTTATGAAATCTCCCAGCTGTTTATGATCGACAATTGCGCTGACGACTGGCGGATAGCCATGACGTGGCAGCGACTGTCACAGATCTCCACAGAGTTGATCATTTGCGCTGTGCATCCGATTCCTGGAAACTATTCCTTCAGGTAAAATATTGTCTTTTTTAAAGTAATTAATGCATCTCACAATTAATAATAACTGTTTTTACTTCGTTTAAAGGTAGGTTGCGCTGTTGATTCGTAATTGTTTTGTTTTCATCTGATGTTATAACTTACACATCGGAAGAAATTTCTGCATAGGAGAGTATTGATTTCTCTTTAGACATGAGCTATAAATTCGAATAATTTTGATTCATAGTTTAATGTGAATTTTTTTCGATCAATATTGTTTGAGAATTTTAAAATATTTGTTGAAAACACGAACAGAAATTAAGGTGCAAACTGGATTTTTGTATTCAACTTAATTATTGAGACATCCTGATTAAAATCTATTATTATTTATAGATAAATTTTCACCCTCATTTGTTCTATTATTTCTCACTAATCCTGTCCATATCGAGTATTCAAACTAACTGATATTTTTAACCAATCATTTATTTTTTTCACGTGTTTCATAACTACAGTATTTCCCAGTCAAATCACAGTTTCTTTTTACATTAATTATCATCATGTCAAACTCTGCTGTTGGCTGAAATTATCCCTTCAGCAAGCAAGTTGCTATAAATAGTCACTCAAAATCTCCTTCTAAGACTACCCACAACAGCCCGCAGTTTGGGTTCTCTGCTGCGTTATCATGTCTCTACCAATCACTTATTATCAGCACATAGCTTCATCGCCAACCATACTATAGAAATAAAATATGAGCATTTAAATTAAATTTTTGAACCGGAATGCGAAATTTACACTCTTTCCGCATTTTCTAAAAAGATAGAAATAACAATTTCTATTCAATTAATTACATTAATTTCATGAAATAGTTGTAAATTGAAGTTGGATAGTTACCCTTCACATTTGCATGTTTGAATTTAAATTAGTTAAATTTTTAATAGCGTAGTGACCGTATTTACTGAATTATTCAACTGCGATTTACTCCTTACAAATGCCGAATTAAAAAAATTCATATGATTAAATATGTTTTAGAATTCTTCGTACTTTCTTGTAATGGATTTAGAAATTCGAATTTTTCAATATTCCAATACTTGCCCACGAAAGGTTATCCTTTCTGAAAAGAGCGGACATAACCGTAAAAATGTTACTGTGCGCGGTTGACGGATAAATTGTATTGCAGATGGATCACAAAACTACCGAACAAAGGCGGCTCGATCGGTGACAATATCGTCTCAATGGACGTGATCTTGTCGTTACCCATGTTCCTGAGACTCTACCTCATCTGCAGAGTCATGTTATTACACTCAAAGGTGGGTCGAGTCCCATATATTCTGAACATGAAAAAAGTGTTTGATAAATTTTATAACATTGGGACCAATGACAAAAAATACATAATTCAGTACTCACTGCAGTGAGTACGTGGCAGAGAGCGCATTTTCTCAAAATCGACGAAAACGTGAAGTCGCGGACAAACGGACGGACGGACATGACGAGCACAATAGGACATTTTTTCTATAAATGAGAAAATGCGCTAAAAAGGATTTAAATATTTTACTAGTTTTCAGGAGTTTACTTATTATAAATTGGATATCGATTTATAAGTTATCTCATAATTTGTTCTTCATCTCCCTATAATCGTTGATTGCCTCGTAGCTGTTCACTGATGCGTCGTCACGCAGCATCGGTGCACTAAACCGCATCAACTTCAACACGCGTTTTGTGCTCAAGACGCTCATGACGATCTGCCCCGGCACTGTCTTGCTTGTGTTTATGGTCTCTCTGTGGATGATTGCTTCGTGGACGCTGCGCCAGTGCGAGAGGTATGGACTTGAATTCTACCTCTCATGTCTTATCCGCTTTAGATTTTCTTCAGTAAATGAGATCATCTTTTTTTCCAAACAAAATTATAATTTTTTTTAGAATTTGCTTCAATTTTTAAATTGATTTGTGTTTTTTGACAAGTCATCTCGGTTAATACGTTTCAAAGTTGTCTTGAAGAGACCTGATCGTTCTCAGTGCTACGTTGTTGTATTACTTTCAACTTGCTGAAGAATGTCACATCTAATTTTCCTTTGCTTATTTTTCAGCCATATCGTTTTCCTTGATTTAGCTCGTTTATTCTGAGATATTTCAAAATAAAGCGTTTTATAATCATACTTAACGCAATTATAAAAGTATACGGCATTCTTGCGCTGGCACATTAATTCGATTTTTATCAATTTATTCATTTTATTATTTTAAATTGGTTTTTATACACAAACGATTTTGGTTTGCTGGATTGATTGTATTTAAGGAATCGAGTTACTCGATTTTGTGTACTTTTATAATTTAATGAAGCTCTGTGTACTGTATATCTTTTTGAAAGCTGCTGTTTCACACATTTAAAGGCTAAATCTGTGAATAACATTGCTGAATAAATTTGTGGTCATATTTGAATATACTTGAACCATATTGAAATTAAGACTCATGCATTTTGAAATGAAATCATAAAATTTATTGCATAATTTTTTATTGTGTAATTACCGCTTCATTTACAAGTGTTTAACGCAGGCATGTTAGTCATAGTGTGTATGTGTGTGTGTATAATTTCGTTCAGTTTTCATAATGGATTAACATTATTATTATCCAGACAAATTGTCGCTTTGAGTTCATTTCTGTAAAATATCTTTTAATAGTCGGTGTCCGGTTACCGTTTTTTGGCCAATTGTTACACCTAGAAGCGTTTTGTTTGTATGATTCCTCACCATAGATAACGTGGTAGTTAATGCCACTCAGTGTACTAGTGATATTTACTTGGTTACTTACCACTATTCTTATTATTCTTAGTGATAGTAGTGAAATGCTTCTTCAATTAATTTGTTCGTCGGTGAATATTTCCTATTCATCAAAATTCAATTTTTTAACAGACAATATAATGTTGAAGAGAGAAGGTTATAGCATTAGTAATTGTACTTGGTTTCTATTAAGTTATTCTTACCATGCCTACGGCTGCTGCCTTGGTCTCACCACATCAATAGGCCGACGTAAATCATTCGTGAGCGACCGCCCTCCCGCCTCTGCTTTGCTCATGACGTCTAGGGGCTGTACTGTCAAAACTAGCTTAAGTAAACGTAGCGGCTTATTTCTCGTCTGTGATTGGTGGGCTTACCTAGAACAGCCGTCATTTATTGGTTAAAAGAATTACGAACTCGTAAGTATTTGTGATAGTTCAGCCCCTGTTGAACTCAGTCACGGTCGCAACTTGAATCATTCGATCACTCCTTGCCATTCATGAGCCTTTTTCCATGGTTGACGACAAGGTGCTGGTGCAGCTTAGGGTTTAGAGGAAATGCTTCCATTTTAGGTGCCGTATAAAAATGGGTTGTCATTCCTTCGATACAATTTCAAAGGCACTTCGGAGAATTTCCATTAGTGACTACAAAAACTTGCCATCGTCTGCTTTTTGGTGTTCAATTTTTTTGTTTGTAATTGTGATTTTGCTGGATTGACAGCTTTCAAAGGCGGAATATTTATTGTCTACACTGATAAATTACCATGAACATTGTATGTTCCTTTCAGCTTCATCATCTCATTTTTCGAAATTCGTCTTGAATTGCTCATAGCCGAGTACATTGTTGCCAACATGAGCTGTCTCATTAAAACTTTCATCAAATGAACTTCTCAGTCGGAAGAATTTTGGTAAGATTTACACAACATATAAACTCGTTACTCTTCCTATTAATTTTGGGACATTATTAATCTGTTTGCTTCGTCGTTTTACACATTCTCGAGCTTTGTCGTCGTATTTATTTATATTAATTTTTAATTTTTGCGTCGACGCTTTGATCTTTTTCGGACAGTTGCTCTTTACTTCAAAAATTATTCCGTCTTTAGGAACAATATTATCGCTATTACTTCGATTTTAACTTAATGATTTGGATCTGCACCCGATTGTTACGTTTACGTGGAAGAATTCTTTATGCTCGGAATGTTATGTTAGAAGGAATTGATTTCTGTTGCTTCTTTACTATTTCTGATCATATCCGTACAAAGGGACCAGAATTAGAGTTCCTTGAAGAGCAAATTTCAGATGTCGAAAGAACATAAGTAACTTTTTTCAGTTTGAGCATAGTCAGTATATAATTTTTGAGTAACAAGAGATGTAAATTTATATGAAACACTTGTTTCTTCTCAAACTACCCGTTCTGTGTTCTAGTCAATTACAGATGTAAGCGCCAATGTCGTCCGCTTTATAAGATTTGGCGCGGCATCAAAAGAAGAGAAGCAGTTTCTGTTCTTCACGTTTTGTGGTTTTTCGAATTATTCTTCATTAAAAACAAAAGACAGTTATTGCTTTTCCGCTAAAAATTTTATATTTACTGGTTTGTTGAGCGTTGCCTCTGATGAATAAACTTACATGTACGTTTCTTTAGATAATCATTTTCGACCGAATAGTAATAACTTGATAACCTCCTGTTCAAATATCGATGAACTGCTTCAAATACTTCGACACAGCATCGCTTGATGGAATTCTCTTAGAATAATGATGAACGGTCTTCTATATTCTCCGACATAGTATCGCCTGAAACTGAAGCTATTTAAGTGCTCATAATTTTCCCACTTTTGAAGTTGTGAGTGTGGTGGTCACCTTGAGTACATGAGCGCGCAACGCTCGTGTCCTGAGCAGCGTGTCAGGTGGGAGTGGCGGTCACGCTCTTTTTTTCTTGAATTTTTGAAAAGATGGCTTGAAATAAATAAAACATGAACCGCTTGAATATAAAGTGTATGAAAACTTGATGAAATTCCTATGATTTCCTTAATAATTCGAAACTCTGTAGCTTCATAAACTCGATGCACTCAGTCATATTTCAATAGTCTTCATAAAGCTTATTTAAAAAGCAAATGAATTAGTGTGAAAACCCCAGGCCCATATTTGTTTGTGGTGGAATATGAAGGAGCCAAACTATATCGCTAATATAGTACAGCTATGACCCATAAATAAATAAGCCACTGCGGCGTGGCGAGAAACATGTCTGTATCTCCTGCTATCATTCCTAAAAAGTCCTTCGTTCTTTCCTTGGCGTTTATCTCCGTATTTGTGTAGTCATTGGTTCTAGCTTGCTTACTGTGGATAAACATTTAGTATATCCCTGTTATCCTCTTCCTAGCCCTAGTTCTACCCATTTATCCTCCCATCCAAGTTATCCCTCTTCGGTGTCTGCATCATTTCCACGTCTTCCTTTTGATGTTCTAGGAGGAATCTGAAGAAGCGCGTCTCGCTCGCGCTCCTCTTGCCGTTCACTATCACTTAATATCATTTCAATGCCGCCCCACAATCTTATATGAACGGCCACGTTATTTTCTTTAAACCTTAGCACAGTTCTGCCTTATTTACGCGAATAAAATCGCTTATATTAAAGCACAGTTTATGTGCAATGTTCGCATAGTAAGTCGCTGTACAAATAAACAAGTTAAAAGTAAACAATCTTAGCGCTGCTTCAGACTCCTTGTATGTTTGTCACACTGACTTGTTTTCGCTGCAAAGCAGCAATTCCAGAGATTGGTCATGATAATACCTTCTGCAGAGAACCTTTGTTCGGTGTATTTCTTATATTAGCTGCATTTGGCTGGTTAATCCACTGTCTCATCTTTGACTAAAATCGTCCAACATGGTTGATCTCCTTTAGGTATCACGATGAAGATCATGATAACCTCCTTAACGCTATGTGGCTCATCGCTGTCACTATATTATGCGTTGGTTACGGTGATATTGTACCAAACACGTACTGTGGCCGGAGCCTGGCAGTGGTCTGTGGCATCATGGTAAGTTTAATTCAATTGAAACAAAAGCATTATTAGCATCAATAAATATTTTAAAAAGCTCAATTAGGTTCATAGCGCGCTGTAGAACGCAGGTATCCTTCTAGAGCCGTACTATTCTCGAATTATTTTGATAATACATGTTTTTTTATTATTTTTCTGTGCGTGTGTGTATGTCGCGTTACGTAGCGTTCGTTGTTCCGTGATCGATTATGAGTAACGCGTGGTGCCTGTGTAAGTGTTTTCTTGTCTGTGTCGCTCTTCTACAGGCACCACGACGACGACCATAACAATTTTTTAAACTCCATGTGGCTTATAGCAATCACGTTCTTATCTGTTGGATACGGGGACATTGTCCCTAATACGTACTGTGGCAGAGGTATAGCGGTCACTACAGGTCTCATGGTAAGTTCCCTGCTCGTTGTTTCGTGCGTTCTTTCTTTGCTCGTCTGCAACTTTTTGCCCAATGAATGACACTCTTGCTCAACGCTTAATTAATAACTTAATCGCTTCATAACACCTAACATTTATTGCACCATTGCTGACTTTCTTCATTGCTTCCTCTATTTTCTCAGAGTTTCCATTGATCGGTACACTTTGTGCCCAAAATAACTAAAATGATCTTGATAAATTTCTATACCAACTTATTGGGTCAGTAGTTTTCAATAATTTAAAGTTGAAAAAAAAATTATACTTTGCGGTTGACAGATCAGATTCAAGCAAATGTGCAGTCCATATTGTAATCAATAATCATGCCCTCTCAGACTCTACACACTCCATTGCTGGAATAAAGAATATTAATAATATTGGACGAGTTTTCCCTTTCTGGCCTTCAAAATTGTATATTACCAGCCTTCTTTGAATCAATACTTCTAATGCCCAGATGAAGTTATTTGTAGATAACCCAATTTAATTACTTAGTTTCGTCCTATATTTCGGAGCATCCAGTGCTTTAGATTTCATCCAAGTCGAATCACTCTAACTTGGAATTATCTTAGTCCAAATGAAAAAGTGATATTAGTTCTCGTGTACGTGTTGCAAATGTTTGATGATAGTTTGTATATAAATTGATCGCAGCGACTAAAATTGATACAAACAACGAGTCAGGGGAGTAGTTGATAATGTAGAAGCATTCTTTAGTAGTTTATCCTTATTTATTGGTTTATCTTATTGCATTCAATTGGGAGTGAAGAACATGGCATGTGGAAAATGCATGATAAATATGAGTGGAAAAATCGAGTGCATTTCTTTTTTTCCTGTGGAATTAGCTTCTCCTGCCTATATACGTTCTAATGGCTGATATCATTGTTATGACCTCACCAAGACTTACCTTTACACTCACACGGAAATCACCGTTACCGCTTGCTTCAATTACGCGTGATCGTGCAACATTTGGCAATGCAAGTCATTTAAAATTCTCGTCAACAAAAGAATGAACTAAGTTTTAATATTTCCAATCTATGTGGAATTTGATAATAACTTATTGAATAAATAGGTGAGAGGTTATTTTTCGATTGATTGCATCAAAATTTAATTTTATCATTTTTTTGGATATTTGCCTTCATTAATAAATGTAGATCCAATGCAATCATGACTGATCTCAGGTTTTCAAGAGTGATTCAAATTCTCATGGATCGTGGACTTTTTAAACCTTCAAAAACTAGACTAAATATCACAAAACCTTCTATTCATTAATACAGATGCTACTTTAGTTACCACGGAACGCATTGACGATACGAAAATAATTTAATTGAATATCCTATATGCCGTTTTATTAGTCGTTTGTTATATGATATGTATAGTGAAGATACTTATGGCAATTCGAAGCTCTCAAATCATATAATTTGCATTCAATAAAAAACCTTGAATTGCGGTGTTGCTGGACGGTTGTTACGTTTCTGATTATATTTAGTCATCTAAGCCAGGTGACCAATAACAATTAACATTCTTTTCTAATTCCGAGTTAGATTGTTTGTAGTTTCGAGCATTTGTACACCATGTACAGTGTCCTACTTCCGTATAACTTGTTGAACAATAACTTGTTACTAATAATTTTATTATTTAATAATGTTATACGATAATGATGCTCGTCAACATTCTGAACATTTTTCTTTGTGATATTGCCCGACGTTGATGCTCTAGCGCCCTTGACGAAATTTAAATAGTGTGAACAATGGCATATCCAATCAAATGAGTATAATATTTCATCTGGTATGTTGATGTCACATAGTAGAATATGTTTGTAAATTGAATTGAAGAACTTGATTGTGGACGTCGATGATGTGCTCGGCAGGGCGCGGGGTGCACGGCATTGCTGGTTGCTGTCGTGTCCAGAAAAATGGAACTTTCTAGAGCCGAGAAACACGTGCATAACTTCATGATGGACACTCAGCTCACTAAAAGGGTGAGGCGTCGCAGTGCTAAGCTAGATTTTTTATATCGTGTGGTTGTTATATCTTCCATGATCGTTTTAGTTTAAGATCCTACCGGTCGTTTTATAACTGATTTGTTGTGTGACATAAAACTTAGTTGTTGTATCACTGAGTTTTTGCATCCTCGTTACCATCACGATATAGTTGATCAGAAAGATGAAAATTTACAACTGCCTTAAATCTCTAGTCGGTATAGACAATTTTTATGAAAAACTGTTGTTACTCACGGCAGTTGGAATGGTCAGTGCATCGAGTATGTATGGGGAATTAGATTGAACTTATCTATACCATCTTTGAAACCCAAAACTGCTAGAATCTTCATCCAGGCATTTTTCATTCAAAATATATTACTTGCGCTCTCCATATGCATGCATCATGTAGTATGAACTTGAATATACAATACAACATATTTCTTTTATCTCTAATGTGCAGCTCAAAAACTCGGCAGCGAACGTGTTGAGGGAAACTTGGCTCATCTACAAGCACACAAAGTTGGTTAAGAAGATCAACCACAGCAGAGTGCGAACCCATCAGCGCAAGTTTCTTCTCGCCATCTACGCGTGAGTAACGGCCACTCGTGTACGCGTGAGTAACGGCCACTCATGTACGCGTGAGTAACGGCCACTCGTGTACGCGTGAGTAACGGCCACTCGTGTACGCGTGAGTAACGGCCACTCGTGTACGTGTGATTAACGGCCACTCGTATACGCGTGAGTAACGGCCACTCGTGTACGCGTGAGTAACGGCCACTCGTATTTCTCCAAGAAACGAATGTTTCGTCGGTTGCAAGTCGTTCAGGAAGTTAACTTATATAATGAACGAAGTATCGATTTTCACATGTCATTCATCATCATCACTACTTACATTCAAGATCAAATTCAGACGTTACCGAACATTCCGTAACCTTAACAGCTTTCGACAATCAAACACGCTATTAAAGATGTGATGTGAATTGCAACTTTTATGTAATAAGTTCTCCTCTTCTGCAGATTGCGTAAAGTCAAGATGGACCAGAGGAAACTGTTGGACAATGCCAGCACCATCACCGACATGGCAAAGGTGAGCCCTGCTTAAAAATGGTATGCAAAATCACAAACGCGTTGTCGATGGAAATAGATAACGTTAATTCATATTTAAGATTGATTTCGAAGCTTTCACGAACTCCGATTTTTATTGTTCGAAAATTTTCACATATTTACGTCAAATTTTAAATCTGCAGCGTTCCAACTGAGTGCTAACTTGATTTTCTTTAGTGGGACTATCATGGTAAAATATTTTAAAAATATTTTTCGATAAAACTTTCATTCGTAATGTTCCACCACCGTATTCCGTCAGTAATTTCTTGTTTTGTGGAAGGGATAAATTTTACTCGCCCAAATTAATCTAAATTTTTACCTCTATGTAAAAGTAATTTGTTATCAATAATCAAAGTCTGGCGTGGAACTTAAAACCTCTCCGCTAATATCACTAACTATTTTTCAGATGCAAAATAACATGTACGAGTTGGTGTCTGATATGAGCGGCCGTCAGGGTGTACTGGAGGACAGAATAGCCACGGTGGAGGACAGGTTATCTCAACTGCAGGACAGTGTAGACAGTTTACCTGACATCCTCAGCCGCTGCTTGCAAGAATCGCTTGAACAAAAGCGGCCCCAGAACACCCTTCATCCTGACATGGCTGTACGGCAAACCACTCACGGTTCCACCCAACACACGCACACTCTAACGCCGTATAGTCACCCGTTAACACCACACACACACTCACTGTCTCCCACCCCACTCATACCTCACCCTCTAACTCCTCCTCGTACCACTCAGCATTGGTCGCAACAGCTACAACAACAACAGCAACAACAACAGCAACAACAACAACCTACTTCAATTCCCCCTCCTGTATATCCTAGAGCGAGCCTCAGTAACGCCTCTAGTTCCTTCGTAGGCTCTACAGCCTCCTCTACCCTTACTTCGGCGCCTCCTGCAGCTGTGAGCTCGGCTAGTAATAGTAGTAGTAGTGCTGGTGCTACCACACAGTTAGTTGGTGCTGGTGCTACCACACAGTTAGTTGGTGCCCCTGTGGTGACATCAACCAGTAAACCTCCCTCACTACCAGCCAGAAGTACTAGCAGTGATACTTGAGAGAAGTAGAACGATAATAGTTTCCTATTGGATTAGTTCATCTCAGATTTGTTCGATCGTGCTTATGTTTAAATAATTAAGATTTTATTAATACTATATTCATAAATAAATCTTTACTTTACACAATAAATGAAAATAATTATAATAGACGCTTAGAATGTTACTTAGCTTTTAAAATATCGTATACTCGCTTAATATTCTCACAAGAGACTACAGATTTCAACACGTAATTCATAAAGGGGCTGAATGAAGGACAGCCTTTATCAGAAAGCCTGGCGACCGCTGCGCTCTCTTCTCAACCGTCCGGTGTCGCTTGCACTTCGCGCTCGCTCCTCATTCTAGAAAACGTGTCGCTCATACTTGGAATAAAATTTATTAGATAAGTGGGAAATAATGCAGATGGATTAGTAAAAATTATTGTAGATGGATTAGTATAAATATTATATTCAAGAGTTTTCTAAATAGTCACTAAAGCATACGAATACGTACAGATTGATTATCTATAACGTGTCATCACTAATGGGTTATCCCTCTAAATTTCCAATAACTACTTAAGGAAATAAGCTCAAGTCTGTGAAGGAAATGAATAACAATATAGAGTGCCGGCACCTGAAGAAACCGTTGTAATTAGTATTTTTTCGTATCAATTTAATAAACTAAATCTACCTGGTCTCGGTATTTAGGAGAGAAGTGGTTGTTGAATCGAAGCAACTCTTCCCGATTCCAAAGTATTCAAAATTCTGAAAGTTGGCTGGTAGGCTATTTACCTGCGCCAGCCTCTACTGAGGAAGTTCATCGTCTTCTTGAGAAAGGTTGATTATCTTTAATAGGATTGCTAGAAATATGCTGGTGCAGTTAAATTGTAAAATTGGTTGAAATGCTATGCTCGGAATCGCTGACAGTAATGGGGCTCTCAATATTTTCGCGCGTATAAAGTTTAAATCGTTAAAGAAACTAATTAATTTGAACAATCGTATCTGGTCTTCGAATATCCTTGCCACCTCTGGTCAAGCATCTCGTAAATTCATCCACCATAATACACATCAGTTTATTCCTAACGTTCAATTATTCACAATTGTTAGTTAGAATTTTAAATTGTTGATACGTGAGCTCGAAGTGAATAATTTGTAGAATAGTAACAGCCTATTAAATCCTGGACCAATTCTAAAGGCCAACTGTAGAATAATGACTGCCTTGCTTATAGTTAAAGCTTTTAAATTCTACACTTTTCGCTTAGCAGGTAGATAGCGTTGAATTACTTATCAACGTCTGAGAAATGGGGTCAGGCAGAACATTTTCGGCATCGAGATCAATGAAGAAGTCGATTTTTGAACACCAAGGCTTCGAAATTACGGACAACGTATAACTGATCAAAATGTTCACGACCGGGACGCAATTTTTTCGGCCAATTATTTATTGAGAGGCATAATTACAATTATTAGTTTCAGTAGAACTTTTGCCAAGAATAATTGCAAAAATATCCGCATTTGGTTCTTGAAGATTCCAGCAGAGTTAGTGTCATTGTAATTAAACGATGAATTGACAATTTGCCCTATGGTAATGTTGTGTTCACTCAATTCGCGCTATGGACAATTCTGATTATTTGAATCTGCTAACTCGCAGTCATCGTATCGAAATCTTCGTTTAGATGTTCCAATAGCTGATTATTTACCAAGGAAAGGACAAGTTCACTTGCGAAATTTTTCAATCATAGATCTGAATAGATTCGAAGGGACCATCTGCCTTCTATGTCATCAATGGGCTTCAGTAAAACTGCAAGTGATGCGCTAGAATAAAGATATGACGACATGTGTTGGTGTCTTGGAAGTGTAACATGAACATAACGAAGTGAAAGCATAATAGAAACATATACTTATCACGAGTTTAATTAGCATGAGTTCTGTTATAGGCACTGTTAGTTATCACTCTTAATATAAGGAAGTTATTTAGCTATGGTGAATTGATCGTTGCGTTGCCCGTGGCTCCGTTCCGGAGCAGCCTAGTCGTGTAGCGTTTCATTTATTGTTCTATGTATTCTTAACAAACTTCAATGTAGCAAAGAATAAGGTGAAGTCGACACGTAAAGTCAGTCTTATGATTATACAATGTGACGTATATATTTTTATCTGCATGATGCTCAGGAAAAAACACTAGATTATAAATTAAACAAATTTCTATGTTCTATTTGGCTAATAATATCCTAAAAAACAAGTAACAGATATGGTGATTTCAAATGGGAATATAAAATTGAATATAATTAAAATCTATGCCCCTTTAAAATATTGAAAACGTCGTGGGCATCTTGTTTTAAACTTCTTTGACAATAATTATAATGGAAATGTATTTTGTTCATTTAACGTGAGGAACAGAGCAGAGCGTGCGCGTTTACTTTTTACCAAAAGCGCAACTATCAGCAGTTAGTATTATTCGAGACTCTAAGAGCTATACAAGAAATGTTAAAACTCGTGCAGGACGCTGAATGAAATGAGTTTTATCATTTCACGTCCAATCTAAATCAAAACACTTCAGCCGCGTAATAAATGGCTGGACTGACAATGCAATGTGAATGCTAGTGAGTCTGACATTACCGTTTCAAAAATTGACAACGCGCGCAAATGCATCGACTTAGCTCTCAAAATTGCAACTACGCTTATCCGATGTTCTATGCTACTCGTGTGAAATTGTTATATACTATATTGTAGATAGCTAACAATTGTGAACATCATTCGCTAGTTATTTTGATAGTTGGTGATCGACTTCACGAGCTTTGATTGCAAGCTTATGTCGGGTTATCGCTTAAGAACGGTTACTTACTTAACACATATCTTGTTGAAGCTCCCATTATTTAATTTCTTTAATGCAAAAAAGTTACGTGATGAACGAAATTATTATTTTTTTCTTAGATTGCTGCCAGTTTTCGAAATCTTTGAGAAGTACGTTACTATTCACATGAAATGAGAACAACAAGGAATTATGCAGTAAATCTACATTTAGGTGCTTCTCCAAAAATGTACAATTCAGAGAGAAAAATGAACAATTACTATACTTTAATTGTGTAATTCTTAAGGCTTTTCCAATGTTTAAAAAACCTATGAACAGCAGGAATATTTAAATTAAACTAGGTAAAGCGCTAGGACTATAGCTGTGTGATGTTTGTTACATTGTTGATTGCTAGTTTTGTAAAATGCATATATACTTAAATCTATTTATATAAATGAAACACAATTATAATGACATGAAATTAGGCACCTATGGTAGAGTATTTTCTTTGCCATTTCATCTTTTTCACCGACTTTTTCTGACTGCTAAACGGCTGAGGAATATAGTATCCGTCTTATAATTAAAATTAACATCTTGCCTCGACCAGCGTTAGCTATCATAATTTTCCTCATTATTAAATTCATTTTGACTATGTAGGATTTTGTGCTGCATTTTCACTTTATTCGGTATTAAAGTTTATACATTTTATTCACTCGTAAAAATGTAAACGGTTTACTGGACCACTAAATTGAATGACGAGCTAATGCATCATCTCAAAAAGATTATAAATTCGCATGTATTCTTTAAAATTTCAGAACTTTTCATATCAACTTCAATACAGTAGAAGGTAATAATTCATTTGAAATAATTAGAGCAATATTGTATTTTAGATTTTATGTTTGCCGTTTCATTTCTCTTCGATTTCTGTAATATTAGCAAACAAAAAGTTTACTAACAACAGCAACAATGTCAATATTCTTCAAGTAACTTCCTATATTAATACTTAAGAGGTAGCTCTCTCGTTTTTCAAGCTTTTTAGTACCAAATTGAGGAACCTAATTTACCATCTATTACAAATTAATTAAACCAAAAGGGATTCAGAACAACCCCGACCGTTTTTAAAATAATTAGCAATTATTTCAGGTATCGTTTCTATAAGCGATCTGTTATTACTACTCAAGATTTATAATCAAACCTTATTAATATATTTCCACAAATTTTTAATTGATAAATCTTCAGTGGTGCAATGCGCTCGTAGTTCCGGTACAAAAAATTGATTGTCTGATGGAATCAATGCGAAAACAAAGGTAGTATCCAAATTCATATCATATCGATCGTAAAAAACATTTGACTTCTGTATGTTTTCTGTATAAAAGAAAACCAGCATGTAAAACGTTACTCGTAGTAATTCTGCCGATATTCGGTGCACTAGTTCGACTGGCAGTGTTGTTATGAAAAGAGTGGAAGTTATTTGACTGGCTCTTATACTGATAATATTACGTTAATTATTACTGAGAATATTATGTTAATTAAAGCACGTGCAAAGTATTTTCCTAGCACCAATATTGTTAAAACGATTGTAGGTTAGGCCACATCAAGCTCCGCTTCAACTCTGCAACTCATTACTACACACTGAATGCATTTCTTCTACCAAGACAGAAATTCCGTTCGCACACACGGACAACAGGAATCACTTTCATGCTCGTCTTCAAACTTGAGTCAGTTGTTATAAATTACATTTAGCTCGGTTATTATTTTCTGCAGAAATTGGTGGAATTATTGGCATTCTTACCGAGGGCTTTCACTTACTAACAATAATGCATTATAAAAACAATTTTTAAAAGAGCTTTAGAAATTTGATTGCATTCTATTCTCTACTAAGACAGCCAGCATGTTGCGGCCATTATCGTTTCCTCTTATTTCTCGCGGCATTCAAGTGTCATATTGGACACATTGCAGGTGACGCAGAGATATTCGGAATACATTATCTTTGTTTTGTATCGAACTTACCACCATCCTTAGTAGTGCGGCGACATTCAAGTTCAGGTGACCAAAATACGGAATCTTCCCTCCTCCTAAGGATGCCGTAACGAATATTTCTTAAGTTAATCTATCGCGTACTGTCGATTAGAAGAAAAATTGCAATTTCCTGGTTCATGTCCTATCAACATTTTATTTTATGAACTATTTTTATCTGATCGGTGCGAGTAAAATTTATATGTACACATTATACAGTCTCAGGCTTTGGTGGAAAGCAGACTTATTTTTAATAAATTCTTAAATTATCTATCATTTCTGATCCAATCAGCTGAGTGCAATAGCAAAGTTAGATGGATACCATCATCATACCATTGATATGTAAAAGAATATGAATCTGTGGAGCAACTAAACGAAAATTCTCTCACTTACATCCGGCCTAATGACGTACGCATTATAGGAAGCCAGGATACCGTCAGCAGCACAAGTCTTCAGACTTCCAGCACCGACAGCATCTCTCTTACCACTACGTTACATGCCCCATGTTCATGTATGACATTTTTATAATTAAAATTTGAAATACCTGCTTCGATAACCGTGTTTTTATTTTTCTATTACCCAAACTATATTTTTCAATTTCAGTAGGGAAAATGTAGAAAGAAGGAACGTACCGTTCAAAATTCTCAACATTTCGAGCTTACCCTGTATTATGTATATAGGCCAAAGCAGGAGTTTATGCGTATACCTACAACTTTTTTATAAATTCGATAAGAGACACCGTCATACAACAAGACTACGATACGTTTGATCACGAATTACGGACGAGTGAATATAAATAAAATAAGTAACCCAAAACCACATGTATTTCCATAATCCCAAATACCATTTATATACCAACTCTTCGTAAACGAGCTGCGCTTAACATAAAAATGTTAACAGTAAAGAGAGACCGGAACTACCTCACACTAAAAGAAATATAGCAAAGCATTTTACGTCAACATCAAGAAAAAAACGAAATAACAATATAAAAACACACGAGCGAAATAACTTGATACAAAAACACTGAAGCGGAAAACAGTTCAAGTTGAACAAGATAAGGAATCAGTCATTATTATTAACCACTAAAACATAAACTACGCGCTTTAACATAATATATTCCGAACATGATCTTTATTATATGTGTCTTATGGCAGCAGTCGGTGGTGAACTTATGACAAGCACACAATTATTATGTGTACTTATTACAAGCACACCATTACTTTTAGCTTCTTTCAGCCATAGCCCAACACATTTTTGTAACGCGCCAATAATCATTTGATGTATATAAATCTGGTAAAAAAAATTTAAAATTGCAAAATTTGATCTAAGCAACATCGAAAAAAAAGAGTAATCTTAAATTACATAGTAATTTAATTAGTTGGGCGTGGTTTCACTATACTAAAAATTTTTTCACTTTACCCCATTTTCTATGGGTAACTAATAGGCTTCATATGTATAATTAGTAATTAGAGCACAATGCATGCAATGTTGTATGGCACTAAATAGACAAAATTTTAAATTTGAACTAATTTTCAAGAGAGTTAGTTAGTTTAGTGGCCAAATGTTTACTAGCGCTTCAGCTATTTAGCTATCTCGCACCGAAAGTCAAGATGAACATCACCATAGAGATGGAAAGTCTCAATTATTCATCACCCACAAGGAGCGGAAGGTCTCAGATGTCCAGCCCGCTGAAGCTGGCTCGAAGGAAGCAGCGTTAGCATCTCAAAGAGACGAAGTGACAAGGAGGGACAGGTGAAAATCAACAGAAACGAAGACACTCGAACAAGAGTTCGCTTACACGGGACGTCGGCCGCCCGCACGAGAGAGACAGAGAAGGGGAATGTAAGGAATCCTACCTACATAATAACTTAACCCCACAACTGAGACCTGCAGTCAGACACCGCGAGCTCAGCGGTGGGGTGCTCAGGAACAATCCCCCTAGGAACGCGAAATCCCATAGGACTTCTGACGCGCACAGACACCCGTCAGAAGTCCCCCCTGAGGGAAATTTTCAAGCGAAAAAAAAGCGAAATGTAAGTTTCTCTTTGATAAAAACATTGAAAATTTATCAACCAACAGCAAAAATTAGCAAGAAATGCCTAATATTACTAACTTTTTCAAAAGTAAGGCAATTACTGAACTAATTATACAAAAAAAGCGACTTGTCAGCTAAGATAAAACTAAAGTATTAAATCTTTTAGTACGTTGTGGACCCAATACTAAACCTGTACTCCTGTGAACGTAACAGACATCAAAGCATAAATCCCGGAACGTAATTGTTTAATCACAAACTAAAGTCATTAAGCACCAAACAAGACATGTAAATGGCATTTCTATCGTAATAAGCCTTTTTTCAACAATCCCAAACAAAAATTCTCGGCTATAACAAATTAGGACGTCGTAATAACAAGAAGATATTCCCAATTGATTCCTGAACATTTTCTACGAAAGAGGTGAAAGTTTCACCGCATGTCTGATTATATATATAGTCTATATAGACTGGTGAGCAACTCCATTGAAATGAAAAACTGTGCTGTGGAAAGCTAAGGTTGGATCATGTCGAAATGGCCGCTTGACTGAAGGGTTCAAAAATGATGAAAACTTGGTAACTTCTTAGTAGGAAGATAGAAATGTGTAAACTATACTATAGAAATTTAGTTGAAGGCCGCTTCGCAACAATAGAAAAATATAACTCAGTACTCACTGCAGTGAGTGACAGAGCGATTTTCTAGTCGACGAAAACGTTAAGTCGCTGTCAGACGGACATGACGAGCACAATAGGGCATTTTTCCATAAATGAGAAAATGCGCTAAAATGAATTAAAATTAATCAACAACAGTCCATCCCAGTTTTTATCAAAAATAAACGAGGTAAGTCATGAATATTGTTCTTCTAAAGGTAAAATGCAGTTATATTTGCCACGTTAGACTTGTAGCTTACGACCGCGGAAATGCAGTCGATCTCAAGATGGGGTCAAAAATATCCGAAATAACTTCATGTCAAGAGACACGATCACAATTACGAAAACCTAAAAATGTTACTTTATTTATTTCTTAAGTAATGCGGCACAAAATTCACACATATTCAAGTCATAAAACTAAATAACCTGTGTGATAATTACAACTTAAAGCAGACGTTATTGAGCCAAAAGTACAACTCGAACGATTTTGGAGAAATATCAACTTAGTTTGACGAACATAAATATTAATATATGAGAGCATCAACACCATTACAACAGTAGTCTTAAGCAAACACAGAAACCAACCCGAATTAAAGATAACTATGGTTGCTCATAACACTCAATGGCTTACTAAGTTCTTTGAGCCAGATCTCGTGAAAGTATAAATTTGTGACTTTATCCGTCTTTCTATTCTGAGAATTGTAGAAAAATATGTCACTGGTCCCGGCATTGAAAAGAATTTTATAATAAATTATAAGATTCCAGAAGAATTCCAGAGAGAAATAACAGCCCTCGAAGTGTTGGTCAACTCTACCTCAACTCTAAAAAAGATGTAACAAAAATGGTACAAGATACGTATGAAAATATAAATTAAAGAAACAAACAACAAACTCCTCCACACACCAGGGTCGGCTGATTTTTATCTAATCAAATCTACCAGAAGCCACCCGAATATTATTTCTTTTGTAGCCCACAAGACATCTGCAGGCAGCAGAGGACGGCAAGCGCAGTCTCCCAGCAAGTCTGCGGAGCGTCTAGTTTTGTTTAGCTTCTCGCTCGCGGCGCTTGAGGACCTTGCTTCTGATGCCCTGCAGCTCCTTGGTCACCATCAGCTGGATGAACGCCGTGGGCAGACGCTCCACCAGGTACACCTGCCGTGTGAAACATTGCATAAACTTATGTGTGTGAAACATTGCATATGTGTGTGAAGCAGCACAGAAACTTGTGTGTGTGAAGCAGTACAGAAACTTGTGTGTGTGAAGCAGCACAGAAACTTGTGTGTGTGAAGCAGTACAGAAACTTGTGTGTGTGAAGCAGTACAGAAACTTGCGTGTGTGTAGCATGATAGAAACATGGGGTACGCCACAAGGAATGACAGGCACTTGGTGTTAGCCCCACAACCTACAACACTGCTATAGGTCATCGAATTCCAATACTTGCACCTCAGATAGCATACATCAAAAATAAACATACACCAACTATGATACTATTTAAATAGTAGATACTTTAACCTAATTTAAAATTATCAAATTCATCATTGAAGCTTCCTAACACTGTATAATACTACCAATATTAAAAGGTCTTCTAATAGCAAACGGTTAATAATAGCTTCGATGCCATAATTATTTTCTTCAAAGACATTAAAACGAAATATAGACATAAACACTATGTTCATATCCTAAGAACCTCATACTGCGGTGAGTGAAGCAAGTTATTAATTAAATAGCGAAGCTTACGATGATTTTGTGGACTGCATAGCCAGCCGTGCGGGACTCGACGCCCAAGGTGCCGATCGCTTGCTTCACGTAATTTTCCGGCGTCGGTACCTTCACTCATTCAAGCAAACAAATGGGTCATGATAAGTATAAATGTGCAACTGTAAACTCCGGCAAATTTACTGATATGAGTCAAAATAATATTCTAGAGATTACAAAATTGTGTGCATTTTATTAAGTATTAAAGTACTTTACCAAACTTAGATAGATCACATAAATATTTCTCACCATGACTGTATTGTTTTGCTAAAATAAACTTGTGACTTCATTGACAAAAACTAGCAATTATTTGATAGTAACTGGATAAATTACACAATGTTTCCAATAAGATTATTATTGTGAAGCCAAAAATAAGCACCTCGACTCATCTACCTCCCCGTAAAGTCTTACTGATATTTTATCTTTTGCCACCAAATATCAAGGCACAGTTTGTATTCCCTAATGTGTAAAATTAAGCACAAAATTGAACTAAATTAATTGAATACAATGCATGGAAGTTTCAATAATAATGAAATATAATGGTTAAACATGAATAATCACGTCTCAAGCGTGTCAGTATTCTGCACCTGGAAGTTAGGACGGTTTATTTTTGACAGCTTGGAGACCACAAAGCCTGGCAGGAGACACTGCACCGTCACGCCTGCGTCACGAACCTCCCGCTCTAGCCCCGCGCTGAAGCTCTCAACGAACGTCTGCAGAAAATAACTTGCTTATTTCCTGCCATTTAAAAGAACTGTTGTTGTACTGAAGTCAAATTTTCTTTTGTTTACTACACTTTAGATTAGTATTAGAATCTTTCTAAATAATTTTCATAAAAAAGGAATTGCATTTTACATTGATACTAATTACATTACATTAAGTAAGAAGTGCCATATTGTGTGGCTAATCGTCTTGCCGGACAATCGTGATTGGTCATGCGAGCCGACGGGAGCTTCTAGGTGGGTAACGTGGCTGGCGCTAACAGATTTTCGTCAAGACTTAATAATAACTTCAACTTGAAGATGTTGCCAACAGCCAAAAAAACTTTTAAACCTCTGATAATAGTATTACTTTATTATTAAATTATGAATTTAAATGTGTATAAAGCAAAATTATTGTTTGTAGGCGAGGCACAGCTTTTGACGATACGTTAATTATTCCTCGGGTGTCATAAATAGTGGTGATTGGGAGTACAAAAGTTTTTGGGTCAAATTCATACAGCCAGATGCTGGTAAGACACCACCATAGTTGTGAAAATATCAACAAGCCTAACTGACTCATGGAGCATTTGGTTAAACCGGGCGTATGTGCAAGTATCTACTATGGCTCGTGCTCACTAAAAATTATAAGTATCTGCCACGAAACAGAACTTGTGTGCCCTTTTATGAAGACTACTGTGCACTACTAGATCATCAAAATTCAATAAAAATTAACTCCGTGTTCATTTCATCCCAACCAGCAAGAAGAAGTTTAGAGCTCGACCAAATCCTCACGTTTTACCCCTTGTGTTCAAATCAACACGAAAAAACTCTGCAAAGTCGGAGCAATGCCTTAATTATTTATGCAACATGGCGGTTATTAGGTCTTACGCTCAAAAAATAACTGAGAGCTTTCCTTTAAACGTTCAAATGTGACGTTTAAAGCAGTACAGAAAGCATGGGAAATAAAGACAGCTAATACTCGGGATAGTTGTAGCTCATGCCAACATTGACTGAACAAAATGTATGTAAGATTTGATAGCAAGTCAAGAGACAAAAGCTCGTATTAATTACCTTAGAAGCAGAGTAGACGGTGAGGAGAGGAGCTGCCACAGCGGCAGACAGAGAAGAGACGTTAACAATGGCGCCTCTCTTCCTCTCCACCATCCCCGGCAGGACGATGAGGGTCATACGAACCACTGACATCACGTTGATGTTCACCAGGGATGTCATGTAGCTACGAATAACAACCGTCATCAGGTATTGTCTTCAATAACAAGCATTCAGATTTCAGTCGTAGATTGTTAAAACCCTAGAACTAATTATGACATTAGGAGTCTTGGCAGTTACCATGAATTCAGCAATAAATGAAAATAACACAAGAGAGAACATAACATATCGTACATTTTATAACACATGATCACAAAATTATCACTAAATTACAAAGAAACATAACACTTGTAGTTTCACTTCTATCAAGCAAAGGGAGACAATATTGCTCACCCAAGAATATTTAAAGACTTTATTATCGTACACAAAAAAATCATTTTAATGTTTCACAAATAATAAATATCCATGATTTCATCTCAAATGAAACCATGTTTTATTCCTTCAATGAGTTGATACGTAGAGAAGTAGATCACATAAGTTAAACTATTGAGTTATAATAGAGTGGCCCCCCCCACTCACTTGGCTGCATCAGGCACTTTAACAAGATACTCAGGATAGTCGTAGCTCATGCCAACATTGTTGACCAGAACACCGATGTCCAAGCCTCTGAGTTCCCTAGCAATGTCATCATAGATGTCCAAGCGAGTGTAGTCAGCAGCTATTATCTTTGTCTCCACAGGGTATGAAGATTCTGGGAAATTCCAATTTTTTAAAATATGATGCAGAAATTTTTGTAGAATTGATAACATCTTCAAAATGGGTCATTAATACGCTTGAAATGAGACTACTGTACTCTGGCCTTGGTGGTACAAACCAAACAATTCAACCAGAGTAAATTAAAGTTTACCAAGTTTTAGACAAAATTTCAAGGTAATTTTAAAAGGAGTTATCATATACTAATAATATACTGCAGTACCTACCGTACCCATCAACACACTGATGCTGATAATCGCCAATCGCCTTCATCTTAAAATTTACATTTAACCATTTAACTGCCTTCCAGAGTTTAATTCAGCATGCAGTTGTTTGGTTGTTGTTCCAACTAAGATTCTAAAATATTGTTCTAATCAGCAATTTAAAAAATACAAAAAAACTAAAGCAAACTAAAAATATATTAATAGAATTACTCAGAATTTTGGTGTGAGTATTATTCATTTTGATTTAAAATATTTTAAAGAAAGAAACATAATAAATCATTTCAAAACTTCAAGAATATTGGCATAATCCATCAAATGACTAAATTCATACCAGAGAAATTACAACCTAAGTTGCCAAATAAAGAGAAAGAATTAATGAAGTAGGTAGCTCATACTTGAAACTTTTTCAATGAAAATATTAATTATTTACTTAACATTTTCTTTCCTTTCAAATTCATGTATAGTTAATCTATAATAAAATCAATGATATAAACATTATCACGTACTGATTTCCTTAGCAACGACCTCTAACTTGGAAGGGGTTCTGCTGATGAGCACAATATCCAGTCCTCGTTTGGCCAACTGCAAATAAAATGCAATATGAAACTGACAAATATATTTATAAACAAGATTCCTGGCATACGTGAGGAAACAGTCAATGATTAAAAAGAATTTTAACAACTCTAAGAAATGGTAACAGATTATTTGTGATTGATATAACAAGCTGCACAAAATGGCTAGTGAAATTAAACTGGGAAACAAATTTCTGAATCAGCTTGATATTCATTTTAGAATTTGTCGTTTCTCATTGAATGCAAATAGATCACAAACAGATTTCATTGAACATAATTTGCCTAATTGTATTTTCACTATTGTTATACTTGTGTGCACACATAAGCTTGCAGTGCACACAAGCTTCTGCTATTTTTGCAGAAAATTATAATATATTTTAATTCATGGACATTGAATGTGGAATAAGTATCTGAACCGAGCTTCTAATTTCCATGCAAATACATATTGCATATTGAAATACATGTTGAAATTTTGCCATGCGAATACATATTGCTGTAAAAATTACCTCAAAAGCATATGCTTTCCCAATGCCATCAGTTGCTCCAGTGACAACTGCAAAAAAAAATTATCACGATATACCAAGAAGAAAAACATTCATCAGTGAAGTTTAATAATAAGAAAAGGTTATATATAAGCAACCCAGGGATGATTTAAAGGTGAAAAACTTATTAGTTAGCTTAAAATTATCTCTTCTTAACTATGCAAATATCCTTCTTTTGCTGGACATGTGATGCCTTAGGAAAACCATACCTACATCATATCCAAATCTAAATTTTTTCTTGAATCAACAATTTTACATATAATAATTTTTGTCCACAATTGATGCTTCTAAAAAATTACAAAATAAGTGTATATCAATGTACTCAGGTGCTACCTTCCAAGAGAAATAATAAATATTATAAATAAAATGAATACAAATACCTACTGTGAGAGTATTTTAAATGCCTGTAAAATTTGTCTAGCCTGCTAACAACAAAAATTTATTTCTGTCCAGGATCAATATTTTTATTGAAAGGTGGCAAATTGAGTGCTGTGACAACCATTATGTCATTAATGAGCTGAAACATATTGATGCATGTGACACAAAATACATGTAAGAATCTGTTTTCAATGGTATTTCTTAACATTTCCATTTATCTGTAATGTTAAGAATAATAGGAGAAGCTAAGTTATTTTAAGCAACAAACCTGCCCATTTTCCTGTCTTCTGGAAGTTGATATGAAGTCGCAGTACAGGTGCAACAAGTGATGAATATATGCCTTTGCAAACAGATAGAAGGAACTTGAAGATGATGTAAGCAACAGTTATCTTACCAATAAAAGACCACATTTTGTAAGTAAATTTAGCCAAATTACCAATGATAAATCTGAAACAGAATAGTTGAATTCAAATATAAGCATATATATACATTGGAACCTGCAAAAAATAAATTTATAATTAAGGTTAACTAATTTAGAACGAACTTACAGGCAGCTAAAATCTTATCTTTACACACACAACTATTTAGCACTCGACTTCCCCCTATTTTTTGCAAAATATAAACTATATCTATCCAAACTATAACAAAATTACAAAAAAGATATGACCATTCTCTAGATCTTTTCTTTTCAAATCAAATGGTTAACAATTAACAGTTAACTGTTAACACTGTTAAATGTTAACTGTTAACACTGTTAACTGTTAGTAATTGTTAACTGTTAACTATTAACTGTTAACATTGGTAACAGTTAATTTAGTTAATTTTAGACTCCTGCGTTTGGTATTTTTTTTATCTGAGACGAGACGAGACAACAGGCTCTGTCCCGGTTCGCAATAAAAACCGGGACAATTTTCAGCCCTCCGTAGGAATTCCGGGACGATACCGAGACGAGACGAGACATCCCGGTTCAAATAGGTACCTTAAAATTTCCCGGAATTTATAGCCAATAGCGGAAGCGCTGTAGCGGCAAAACCTCGTATCGCTACTTAAATATGTAGCAGGCGCTACCGATACCGCTACCGCTACTCCGTAGAATTGTCGATTGAGCTACTGCTACTGAAATTGTAGCGGCCTCTACATGTAGCGCGCTACTGCCCACCTCTGCATTTATATAACTTGAGACGTATCCTTTCACTATTCTGATTGGAGCTCGGCAATTGAAATGATTTTTGCTACGAATACATGTTGTGGTTTAATATGGTACTTATCTTTACAGGCAAGTGAAATGGAAAAACATGTTTTTTTTTTCAAAAATTGTGTTCTATGATGGTTTGGAGGAGGCCATACTAGCTGTAGCTGTGACATCGGCTGACTGGACAGACTTTGATTTGCCTCTAGCTCAATCACAGAATCAGATTCATCGATCTTGCCTTAAGTAATCTCCTTCAACAAAAAGTTTGGAAAGAAATATCAACAAAATTTTAAAATACAACAAAATTTAAGTTGGAAAATATAATAGTAAGATCTTCAAAAAAGAACTCGAAATATCCATGTGTATCCTTTCTAAATAACGTTAAACAAGTCCAAGTGTTTGATAACAATTCAGAAAACTGCGCAATTGTGAAGATTTCCTGAAGGCGTAGCACAAAATTTTACTAAAGGCAGAGATAATCTAATACTAGCTTTAGTATTATTAGGAATATCTTACCAGGACTCCACTCCACTGTCTACTAATTGGCCGACTAATCTAGACACTGCGTCCCTACTCCCTATGCGCTCCATGGCACCTGAACTCGTTCCGAACGCGTAATAAACTTGACTCATATTCGTACGGTTCCCATAAGTGCCATTAAAGCCTTAGTTAAGACTTAAGAGTAACATTTTTTACTCAATACTCAGCCATGCATACATCGACAGGTTTGCGGTGTTTGTCGGACCACTAATTAACTGCCATGTCAGTTAGTCAGACAAATTTTGCTAAATCTGCAATTAACTCAATTTAACTGGTAACTGTCTATGGCCCTATTAGTAGCAATAAAGGGCTAACTTTTCATTCTTCAACCCATGTTTTCGAACTTATTCGTATCATAATCGAAAAACTTGTTTTGTCTTAAATAATTAAGACAAATCTAGTCTCGTCTTGTTATGTCTCGTTTCAAATCTGTCTGTCTCATCCCGGTTCATAATTTACCGGGACACGAGTTTTAAAGTCCGGGACAGAAGTCTTGTCTCGGTTCATACGTTTATTCCGGGACAAATTTTACTCTCTGCCCCGTTATTTTTTTCCCGGAATTTTCTCGTCTCGTTTCGTCTGTCCCGGTTCATTTCGAGAAAATTATTTCGGGACGCAGGAGTCTAGTTAATTTCTCCTAATTCTGTAGCTTGAAAACTGTAGGAGATAGGTTTGCAGTGAGAGCAGGTGCAAGTGTTCAACAGAGGCGAAAAACTGCCGACCGGTCACCGCGTGCTATATATACCATCAAACGGGGTAATAAGGGACGGTTTTGAGCATTTTTTGTTAAAAACTTCTTACTATGAAACTTTTCATAAATGAGTTTGGGCTCATTTTAAATGTCTTTGCAGGGGGCTATCATATGGCCTCTCCAAAAAATTCCATATGCTATTCATAAGGTGCTAGACACAATATAAAGCCTCCCAAATTAATCTGGGAGTGGGGTAATAAGGGACACTTGAAATAAAACTCAATTTTAAAATGTTTGAAGCATGCAAAGTGTACTCATCCATTACTAACAGTACTCTAAAGTCCTCCTCTTTCATTGTAGATGATGTAGATGTAGAATAAATGACATTTTCTGTGATTTGTACTTGTTTTTTCCTTTATTATTATATCCATTCATTACTGTATTATTGATGAGATATTACCATATCCATGAACATGCCATTGAGCATTTACAATGACTTTGTCCACTGCATGGTTGAAATCAGCAGCCATATAGCATTTCTTCTGTATCTGTAAGCTTACAGGATGGCTTACAATTTCACACCATTTTAATTGGATCAAGTGAATTCACTATAAAAAAATCATAAAAAACCTACCTGAAACAGAAAGAAATGTTTCAGTGACAACCATCATATGTTTTGGAGAAATAAATCATAGTTTAGGTTAAATACTTTGTATAATAAATACTTTAATATACTTTAAATTGTGCCCGGTGCACAATTTTATATATGACATTCTATGCACAATTTTGTGTTGACAATGATGCATTAATTTTTCATTAAGTAAATTTTTGAATGAGTGAGTTAAATGTAATCAAAATTCTTTGTTAATAGGGCAAATATTTTTTGCTACAGACCTTAGCAGAGGTACTTTTCCAAAATCTCACTTTTCACACTTTTTTCATGGATTTTTTAAAGGTAATAAATGTATGATTTCTTAACTTGCTTTATGCTACATAGATAGTAAAAATGTTGAACTTTATGACACTATTTAAAGTTTTGCAATATTTTGATTAGTTTAGCTGCTACAACATTTCTATGAAATGTTGGAGGCCTGTCCCTTATTACACTGCCCGTCCCTTATTACCCTGTTTGACGGTAGGCATTTATCATAGCTAGGATACTAAAGTTAGGCCTTATTTCAGTTGGAAGCCAGTCAAAGATGCAGAGAACAACTGTATGAGCATCTCCCTGCATGATAGCTTGGGGGTGACTGAAGTTCCACACCAACAGAGCGCACAAATATGTGCATGCGGCCTTGGAGGGTGAGGGAGAGGAGGAGGTTGGCAGGAGTGGAGGCTGGGGGACAGTAGAAAGCAGCAGTAATAATGATAGAATAACCAAACCAGAATAATTAAATATAACACAAATAGTCACTCAGGGCTTTAGAGGTCACATAACTAATATAAATGTAAAACTACACAGGGCAAAAACTGTGATTCAGCAATAATAAACCATATGAATTTCCTCTTGATTTCCTTTTCACCTAGCTCCCATCTTAACCATAAGTCCATAACACAAACTTTCACACCCTCCTTGCTGTTTATTGTTTCCCTTTCTTCCTCCTTCCTACTAACAAACTAATATGTGATGCATGGCTGATGGCCATTGCAAATGCCTGACTCAGAAATGTGTTTCTTTTCTTCAGAGTCACCATGTCTCAAATCTAAATCCAATTTTGCCCATAGCAATTTGTTAAAGGCTCAGCGCAACTCAACTCTTTCGCAATCTGTCCATTCTGTTGTGAACGCATAAATCAAAGTACAGAGATGATTTTGGTACCGTTGAATTTGTCAGAACTGCAGCTTTAACATGAGCAAAAATTCTCAATTGTTTATAAAGATGTTCCCCTTAATCAACTGATTACAGCACACACAGTACATTTTAAAATCTGAGGTAACAGGGCTAACTCATTTCAAGTGAAGAGTCTAAAATACAGCAATCCCTTGATTAGCACGGTTTTGAATACCGCGGAAAAAAAATTTGCGACCTACCCTTAATCTACGCGGTGCCAGTTTTGATTAGCGCAAATTATTCCCATATATTCTTAAGTTTGATTAGCGCGGTTTTGCTTAACACGGTAAAACTCGGGGATTTATTAACCGCGTTAATCAAGGGATTGCTGTATTCTTTACTTTGCCACTATGAATTATTTACTGTAAAGTGTAGACTAACAAAGTATCATGGTTCATGGATACCTCATACTCTTAGGCTCAGCAGCCTCAGCTCATACCTACAAGCATTTTCATACATTTGATATTAGTTTAAATTTTGAGTAGATAAAGAAATTAATAATGAACTAAGAACTGATTCTAAAAAATCTCTGGTTTGCCACTATGCCTGCCAGCTGCCAGAGTATAAAATATAGGGTAAACGCACCATATTCCAACATCATGGGTAATTCCAACACTTCTTAACTTATTCCTTCATATTAAGCTTTGTTTTGTTCCACGCATGCGTAGATGGTTCAAATAGTGACGTCATACTATTGCGTGCAGATTCAGGCAAAACACTAGGTCTGGTGGGAAAATGTTAAGATCCTCGGAGCAAAAGTCCAAGTCAACTAGTGAGAACATCGAAACATGTGTCAAAGTTGATAGTTGACCTAGCTCTACCAAATAGTGATAAACTGTTTGTGTAGAAAGAATATCATGGTTTGAGACTTTTAAATAAGTCTGTGAATATATTATGAATTCTTTAAGTATACTTGTATTTACTGATTTTAAGTGGTAAATAAATTAATAGATGATTAAGTTAAGGGACAGTTTTAGACACATAAGAACTAATTCCGACACAGCTTGGAATTGGACACACACAACTTGTTCCTAGCTGTGTTAAAAAATTAAATGTTTCTTAACTAAATCTTATTATCTTAATAGGTAACTCTTAATTAAAAGCTTAATTAAAAAATTAAAATTTTGTAATTTAATTTTTTTTAGTTTTTACATTTTTTTAATTAAAATTTTTTAAATTAAGCTCGTTCCAAGCTGTGTCATATTCTGATACAGCTCACACAGGGCGTCGGAATTTTGAATTAGTAGTAGTTTGAAGAGTTGTCTGAATTAGTCTCACAATATGCCAAATTCACTCATACACAGCGTCGGAATTCAGGGATTTTGTAGATTTAAATTCTAAAGGCTTTTAAATAAATATGGCAACAGTTTGTGACGTTTCATTGTTGTCAGCGCGTAGTGTGGTCTTTTGAGAGTGACGTAAAGCAATCAGAACTCGAGTTGTGCATACGGTGATCTTTTTATAGCCATTCATTTCTTGGTACGTCCTTAATGTGTTGGAATATGGTGTGTTTACCCTAGTATGGTAGATTGGTATTTGGTAGTGCAGCCTCAGGCTCAGCTCATGAGTACAGAGTGAGAGTAGGCTATCAGCCATAGTGGCAAAGCAGAGAGTTTTTTAGACTCTCCCTCAAGTTAATTTTTGAGTCCTATAAGTAGGGTAAACGCGGTATATTCCGACACATTATAGACACATCGAGAAATGAAAAACTATACAAAAAAAACTGTATGCGTTACGTAACTTCTGTTGGCTTCACGTGACTCACAAAACACCGGACTACGTGTCAGCAACGATGAAACGTCACAAAATGTTGCCATATTTATTAAAAAGCCTTTAGAATGGAAACCTACCAAATCCCTATATTCCGTCACTTTGTGTGGCAATATTCGACACGTGGTGAGT